CCAATTACCTGGTCTTAAATTAGCGAAATTCACTACACGGCACTACCCAGAACATCCAGGACCAATTTGGAAAATCTCACGTCCATATTTGCGGTCGTAATGCTACTCTTTTGCGGTGAAAACTCTAAAGTCTCTAAGAATTTGATCATGTAGTTGAAACTTCCAGTAACAGGAAGGTTGTCAGTTTTCGCTGAAAAATAAGTTTGTGGATTCAAAGGGGAAATAACAATGTTTGCATGGTGCTTTAGGCCGCGGCCTCGTTAAGACACCTTTGAGGTGACGTGTAACGTCAAAAAAGTTATATAATAAATTTGTACTAATGTTATTACCAATGAAATATTTATGCGCTAGCACAAACAAAATGCCACATTTGCTGGAAAAGTGTAACATTTATATAAATTCTTGAACAAATGCGGGATATTAGAGCTCCCCGTGAAAGAGTTCGCCCAGGGAAAATTGTCATTTTATCTATTTATGTCACCGAGCGTTAGTGTGAACATTACTGCGTGCCGGTTTTGAAGGGTATAAGGGTGCTCGTGGAATTAGAGGCACATGGAAATTGTCAACTTAAGTCTCAGGGTTGACTGGCACAGTGGTAGTGCCCCTCAGATCTGTGCGACTTAAAGCTCTGTGTGGCACTGCAACTGCTATGGGCAAGAGTGTCGCTTACAACCAGGTGCACGATTTTTTCGTCCTGTCACTGGTATCATAAAAAAAATTAAAGCGGGACCAAGACTACATAACACGCTCATGGTTACGCGATAAGTGCCTACCGCTGAGTAGTGAGCGCCTGGTGTCATTAGTCAGATTTAGTAGGCTATTATAGGTAGGCATGTTTGATTTTGTATGAGAGTGGTGTATCTGTTACATAGTAACTATTCAGTGACCTGTGGCAGGACCTTAACCCATTTTTATATTATTATTATTAATACTAATATCCAACAAATACAAAGCAGCATCTGTCACCTCAACGTGACTACCGCTCTTACCAAATGAGCTATGATCGAGGCAGCAGATCTTACAAATTTATCTACATACCTACTTTGTGCGGATCTTCATGCCTTATTTCTATTGGGTTTAAACGGTCTTTTTACCATAGCCCTGCCTGTGAGAACTTAGAAAGTTTCTTCGCTCTCGGAGGCATCTTTACAGCCACGTTAAAGCAACAGACACTGGTTGGAGTCGGTTCGGATCTCGTTCGAAGGAATTTTTCTTTGTGTTCGATATTTGTATCAATAATATAAGCTGTTGGAGTATTTTCACAAAATTTCGTGTCCGAACGGTTACCATGTTGGACTATCACGCAAAGGTATCGGGTTCGAATCTTGGGCCGGGAGAAATATTTGTACAGCCTACACATATTTCTCCCGTGAGTTTGCGTGTAATTTGTAGTTGTCTATGTATGTGTCCAAGGCATCCACGATACAGGGTTCCCCTAGTGCGTGGCCATGAGTGTATACGTGTGTTGTGTGTTGTGTGTTGGTGAATATCGTAGTAATAAAAACTTTATACTCAATAAAAACAAATATTCACCGTTTTTTAAGTGTTCAAAACAATGTAAACATAGTTATTTTCTACGTCAGCAGGAAAACTATGAGGCCGAAAGTCAATATTAAAACCGTTTTACGTCAAATTTACGTAGACCGTATTTATTTTTAATGTACTACTTCTACGATTGATCGAAGTTGGTCATTAATAGGACCCGTCATAAAGCACGACTCAAGATGATTGATAATAAAGTGTGTTATTATATTACCATCGTGTTCGTAATTGTGACAGAATTGTTTATCCAACACGCTACACCCATGACCTCAAGTTAATAGAATTTAATAAAAATATTGTACGAAAACTGAGGGCGCGCTATCTAATGTTATTGTTTATAACTGTTTCGAATTTAGACAAAGTGATGAGACAATAATAATAATAATATGATTCAACATAGCCCCGCACTAGGGAAACCCTGTTTCGCGGGTGCCATGGACACACACATAGACAACCACAAATTACACTCTAACTCACGAGATAAATAAATGTATGTACAGACAAGCTAGTCAAGTTTTCGGGAGCGATTGAAGATTAAAAAAAAATAAAACTACGATTAACTAGGACATCCGACCGATTTGGAGGCTAAATAAATATGTAATAATAAATTACAAAGTATAATTTCTAAAGCTAAGGCCTTATCTATTCTTGGAGTTGTTATGCACTTTAGCGCATTGTGCAGCGTCTGCTGCTTACAAGTACATGGGTATGTGCCTTGCTTGTGATGCCTAGAGTTAAGCTCTAATTTGTATGGAGCGCGGGCTATCACAATGCATAACTCCTCCCTCATTGAGAGCGAAGTTATCGGGCGAGTTAGAGCCACGATTATTTCGTCACTTATTAAGTGTTTGGACTCTATATCTAAAAATAACTAAAATAACAAAAGCAGACGACATAATAATATAAAGTAGTACGGTGGCTAAACTAACACTTTTAAATCTCAATCCGTTACTATCACCTTTCACATTTCCACTTATCGTTTGTTCTTCTTTTAGCATGTACGTTAGATATTTCAGGTCACCAAGATTTATGCCTTTCAGATTCATATTGCTAGTTCCTCTGAATGCAACAGATTTCATTTTAGGTATGATTAGAACACAGTTTAGTAAGAATAGTGTCGGTTTTGCTAAATAATATCCAACTCACAGGGCTGATTCGCTGTAGTGTGACGCTCGCTATATTAACTTCGCGAGTAATGCAGAGTGAAAGATTTGATTTGAACTCTATTAATTGTTCTACACGGGTGCTTTCAGGATAGCTGATAATATGATTTTCAGTACATAAGAATTGGTTGGCTGATATCTCGTCGCAAGCACTAGGGACGGGCAGGAATTTCGGACCATTCACCAAAAGGTACGGATATTTTCCAGATAAAATAGGCAATGAATAAATTTTGAAACAATTATATGTAACATTATCGGTAAGTGGAACCCAAACAATCGATTTTAAAGGGGTGTAAGCGACAATTATTATTATTATTTTGGGCGTAAATCCATACTAACTGTTAAAATATAGCTGTTGCTTACACTTGACTAAACTGTATTGAATACTCTTAAATATAAGCTATCTCAGTTTTGCATAAATATAGTTATGAAAATACAAAAGATATGATTGAAAACTTTTTATAATTTTAGTTTTTCCCTCTTCCTGTAAAATGTGTATTTTGTCATTTACGCCTTTTCTTCCCCGAAGTATCGGATTGTGAATAGGTTGAACAGCCTTGGCGAAGCTATACACTGTATATTGCTTGCGTGAAGCGTGCGTGCAGCGAGTGCAGCGCAAATGCAGCGCATTCGCCAGATCTGTACGCACCTTTAGGGCATTATACAATGCAATAAAAGCTCTACAAGTATCAGAGCTGAATCCGTGAACCATTCGAAGAATCAAGCCCAAATTTAATAATACCCTTTGAAATTGTTTTAAATACCGTTATGCCAAAATAGATAATTTGTATATCGGTGTACCCTTAAGTTTACTAAGAGGAGACTTAGATAATCTCAGTACAGAGTACTAAAAAAACTGACTTTCAAAAGTACGTGGAATTACATATAATTACCAAGTTTTATTGAAACAGGTTACCGGAAAGTGCGCAAACCTCCGGGTTTGAATCCGTCATCCCCTAGTTCGCCACTATACGGGACTTGACACAGGAGATAATAAAAATCGGTTCTCACTACTCAAAGTATATTGAGAGGAAAACGCCTTGAATTAAAAAATAGCAAAATCAACCGTTAAAATAATTGCTCATTATAGTAAAATTTAGGCGCTATTTATAAAAATGAGTCTTCATGCGTGAACAGCCACCCTTAGAGGTGGATGATTTTCTTCAAAATTAAATGAGACCACTATGGATAGGTGGGAGGGTACCTACCCTCTTTCCAACAAAAAAAAAGAATCATGAAAATTGGTTCACAAATACCGGAGTTATCGCGGAACATACAAACAAAAAAAACATGCAGTCAAATTGAGAACCTCCTCCTTTTCTTGAAGTCGGTTAAAAATAGCACTACACTATCTTCCACCTTTATTCCACAATGGTAAAGTAGTACTTTTTTTTAACATCATCGTCATCATCCAGAGCTCGACTTCACCCACTGCTGGGTATTGGCCTCCCGTAGTTTGTCCCGTTTCTTGGCCACCATTAGGCTATTGACTATATGTCCTGTTCAACTCCACTTTAAATTCATTATCCGATCTCCTATGTCCTGGATCTTAGTTCGTATTCGGATTTCCAATTTTTTTTAATGATACACACAATTTAGAAAATGAAACTATTTTCCGAATTTAACCCGCGTATATTTGTTTTTTCAAACAAACCGACGTTTCGGGCCCTTTACAGGTCCCATGGTCACGGTTGGTCATGGTCATTGTCAAATATACGCGATTTAAATCCGGAAAAATAGTTTAATTTCCTATCTCTAACAATCGCGAAAACCTAAAAACTTACAAAGTACGATATACATACAATTTGCGAATAACGTATAAGTAATTTTAAATTAAATAGCGTACCTTTAAACACTTAATACTTTATTCTAGGACTCTACTGGGTAGTCTTTTTGGTTCGGCGCACACTAAACATATTTTAAGGTTATTAAACATTTAAATTTATTAACATTTTATAGGTTTTTCAATAGCTACACAAGACCACCGAAACATCAGCGTAATTGAAGTTGATTGCTATGAAATACGAAATAGATATTTTCGGATGTTTTATTTAGAAAAAAAATTTGAGGTGAAAACAAAAATAAATCAACAATAAACAAATAATTTACGTAGCAGTCATGTCTCTTTTCTATCCATACGAACAACAATAAAGCTATTATAATTCAGTCGATTATTTTCAAAACGTATAGTTCGTTATAAAATATGAATTTTACGATGGAAATCAGTTATTCTCTTACAAGAACCAGTATTAAACACACCGTCTGCGTACCCAATTATTGTTGTTTAATATTATAATGCAAGTCAGTGGAACGATCTGTGTACTACTAACTTTAGTAGCTGTGGTCACCGTCAAGAACATAAGAGATAGATTTTATCCGCGCTACCACTTAGCTGCCCCACGTGGATGGATGGGCAAACCCAATGGTTTCGTTATGTTTCGAGGTATTCATCATTTGTTTTATCAATTCAATCCAAATTCTACCCGTGCATCAGGCGCCCTTTACTGGGGTCATGCTAAAAGCGTTAATTTGTTCCACTGGGAACATGAACCAATTGCTTTGTATCCAGACAAGTGGTTAGATAAGTCAGGAGCGATGGCAGGAACTGCCATAGTAGAAGATGACACAATTCTTATATTATACACAGGCAGAATAAATCATCCCGGTGAAGATCCTGACCATGAAGAGCATATATGTTTCGCTAACCAATACGGAAAACAATATTATAAACACAGTTTGCCAGTTATTGAAGGTAATGAACACCAGCCGAATTTCAGAGATCCCTATTTTTGGAAATACAATAATATGTCCTACGCGTTGATTGGCAGTTCATTTTTAAATAATACAAAGTGTCGGATTCTTTTATACCAATCTCAAGACAGAATTCACTGGTCTCAAATCTCTGTCTTGTACCAGTCCGATGAAATTCTTGGTAACATGTGTGAAAGTCCCAACTTATTTGCATTGGATGACTACTATGTTCTCCTCTTTTCAGTGCCAGGAATAAAACCTGACGGCATTTATTATCAAAATTCTTATGAATCAGTATATGTTATCGGTGACTTCAACTACAAATCCTACACTTTTGTTCCACTTACCAGTGTTCATGAACTAGATCACGGCCATGATTTTTATGGACCACAGACTTTTATAGATGACATAGGACGAAGAATATTAATTGCTTGGTTCAGTGTAGGTACGAGGGATTATCCAGAAAATGAGGACGGGTTTGCAGGTTGTATGACTATGCCAAGAGAACTTGCTTTTGGTCGTAATCATGAATTAATACAAAAACCCCTCGCACACAGTGAACACGCTAGAGGCCCCGTGGTGCGAAGAGGATTAGGTAGAAGTAATGATTCGGTTATTTTGCCTGACAGAACTGGAGAAATTATAATAAAATCAAATTCAAAGCGAGATGTTCAGGTCTACATTGAAAGTAATAAAAACGGAATAGTAATTACTTACAATGCTAAACGGAAATTAATTACTCTTGATCGTGGTGGTTTAGACGGAATACGTCGGGCCAACTGGAATCCTGGACGCCGATTACGCTGGATCATTTATATAGACGCCAGCACAGTGGAGTTATTCTGCGGCAACGGCGAAGTGACCTTCACGAGTAGATTTTTCCCATCTGGGACAGTGACCGTACGATTGGGAGAATTAACACAAGTTCATGTTTTTAAAGTATCGGAAATGCAACGCACTATTCACAATATTACGAGTGCAAGAAAAAAAGGATTTCTGTTTATGAAAGCTCATTGAAAGTGTCCATATCGCACGTTGAAATCAATATTGTTACTAAGCGAATGCTCGCGTTTTCAAATTTAAACTTATTTTCAGAAACGTCAATGGCCGTTTCCTGAAAGTTGACTTCTTAGCTTAGTGGCATTTTTTTTTTTCAACGTGCCATTACTTAGTGGCATGTATGTCGGATGTCATGTTGACGGAAGCTGCGCTAACAACATAATCTATGCTGATGACATGGTGCTGCTGAGTCCTTCTATTGGCTCGATTGTAAAGTTGGTGAGCACATGTGTAAGGTATGCAGCAGCGCACGGCCTAAAGTACAACTCTAAAAAGAGTGAGTTGCTAATTTTCAAAATCAATAAAATATAATTCAATCAAACGTGCCATCGGTTGTGTTGGGTGGTACTGCGTTGCGAGTACTTGACAGGTTTAGATACCTTGGTTAGATGATCACAGATGATCTAAAGGATGATATGGATGTGGAAAGAGAGCGCAGGGCGTTGGTAATGAGGAGTAATATGCTGACTCGTTTTTCTTTTGCTCGATACATAGAAAGTGTAAAAATATATTTAAGGTTTTTTGCTCGTCATTTTACTCCAGAAGTCTGTGATGTCAGTACACTAAACGACCTTACATCGCCCTACGTATACAGTATAACAATGCGTTGAGGATGCTGTTGCGGCTACACCGGTGGCTTTCCCGTTATGATGCGAAAGAAGGCCGCTTCTTTTCTTCACTGTGTGTGTAGTAGCCGGAACAATATACTGAAAATACTCCCTTGCTATGGCATCTAATACAAAGAGTCATAGGTAATTTAAATTAAGTAATTGCATACTATGTAATGGAATTTCAAATGTAATGTAATTTAAATAAGGACCTACTAACATAGTTGCTCAGTCTTACTAACAAAATATGGAAACTTTTTCTGAAATAAAGTATTATTATTATAACGTTCTATAGATGGCAAGGGAGGATAGAAACTCTATGGACAATAGAGAGAGTTTGCTCTGCAGTGTACATGATTAAAAACTTTCACTACAAAACTTGGTTTCGTTCCATGGCTTAGTTGGTATAGCGTCTGACACGGTATGCAAGAAGACATCGGTTCGAATCCGACCGGATCCAATGAGTGTTCGAGCTTTGTATTAATAATTATAACAAACTAGTGGAGTAATTTCACAAAAACTAATTGAATATCAATTCAATAAAAATTTTATTAATACAGTGAATAGCGACATCTCTCGCCAGGACTGGTAGCTGTAAAGGTACTAACTGGGTGATAAATCTGTCATAGATTTCTCATAGATGGCGCTACGACTAAAAAGTCGTTGAAAGACCAAGTACAAAGACACGACGCAAGCACATAGAAAAATTCGTGAGGTCCGTTGGTTCGTTCCATGGCTTAATTATTATAGCGTCTGGCACGGTATGCAAGAAGACGTCGGTTCGAATCCGACCGGATCGAAGGAATTTTTTCTGAGTGTTCGAGCTTTGTATTAATAATTATAACAAACTAGTGGAGTAATTTCACAAAAAATAATTGAATATCAATTCAATAATAATTTAATTAAAAACTTTCAGACATCGAAACCGCTACATTGGTTTACTCCAGCTACTTTCAGAGCTTAATGACATACGACATCTCGTAATGCCGCCGACATTAATGCAATCTTTGTCCTGAAGAAACGTGCGGTTAGGGCAATTTACTATTTGAGCCCTTGAGTGTCTTTCAGATATAAGTTTGAATAGATTAACATTCTTACACTAACGTCATAGTACATTTTATGAAGATGTTATTTATGTAAAGAAGAAAAGTATTCTTTTTAAAAGAAAAACTTTGTAGTGACAACCATAACATTAATACGAGGAATAAAAATAAACTAGCTGTTCTTGACAGTCGTCTATATAAAGTCACAAATCGAATGTACAGCTTCTACAATAAGATTTTTAGTAGCAGTAGATCTCCTTGTGAAAGAGGTCGTCCAGGGAAGTACTGCCATCGTACCTATTTCTGCCACCAAGCAGTAATGTGAATAGGTATTACTGCGTTTCGGTTTAAAATGCTATTGAAATTACAGGCACATGGGACTCATCAACTTGTGTCTCGGGGTGACGGGCGGAGTGGCAGTGCTCCTAAGACCTTTACGATTTAAAGCTCTGAGTGGCATTGCAACTGTCGTGGATAGGCGTATTGGTTACCACCTGGCACACGACTTGGTCGTCCCGTCACTTGGTGTTATATAAAAAAAATCGGGTTGATATTCATAATTTTCGAGTTTTAAACAAAAATTTTATAACAAAGGTTTATTAAAATATAGCTTCTGCATATTTGGATGACAAAAATTCTTAGCATTAACCCGTTTAGCTCTTGCAGGTAGTCTCGAACTAAAATGTTTAAATGAAATATTATAATGATAAATGTATTCAAATGTATATTTATAAAGAGCAACCGCTAGAGCAGGAGTTCCCAAACTTATTTTGTCTACTGCCCACTTTGAGAATAAATCATTTTTTAGCGCCCCCATTTTTTCACCTACTTAAAAACCACTATAACTTCAAATTAAATTAATTATTGTGAGCTATATTAGCGGAGAATAAACGTTTATTCTAAACGAGACTTTTACTATAACTCGCAAGAGTTATAAAACCTGAGACCGAGCGCAGTAGGTAATACAACAACGGCGCTCAGGTCTCAAGTTAACTCTTACGGGCTGCACCTGCCAATGAGAATGATTATTGAAACGCAACTTCATAGTATTCAGAGAGAGTATCTTTTATTCAAAATAAAACAAACATGATCGATTCTCATTGAAGGATGAATCTGATGCTGTTTAATAAGTTTGTTGATATCCGGTTCCAGTTTACTCAAGAACAGCCGCAAGTCACCATGTTCGGTAACATGCAAATGATTTCTCTTTTTAGTAAGCAGCGTTGTCACAGCACTAAAACCACGTTCAAATAAATATGACGATGGGAATGCTATCAAGAATCGTTTAACTATTGACCACAATCCAGGGTACAATTGCGGGATCGGTTTTTGTAGCCAAAATTCTTGGTAGTGATAATGCTGTGTTGGCATTTGAAAACGGATCCAATACCCAGTCTGGTATTATCAAGTTCAAAACGTCCTGCTATCGTTCGGTGAACTCAATGTGGAGGTTTTCCAAATGTTGGCAGTAGGCTAACAAGATGTCGTTACTGCAGGATACTGATAACTGATAACTGATAACTGCGAATATTCTTTTTGTGTAGATGTAGTTTGGCTGCGAAAGGAGCAACGACATTTTTTGTTTTAATTAAATTAAATTCATCGCCTTGCAGTTGGAGATTCATGTCGTTGAACAATTTTTACAGGTCTGTCATGTAAGCTATATCATTCTTTGATGTAATGAGCTTGTTGCGCAATTCTGTATCTTTAGTTTCCAAGAACTCTATCACAGAGTCAAACAGGTTGTAAAATCGAGTCAGACAATTGCCTCTTGATAGCCAACGAACTTCAGTGTGAAACAATAAACGGTTGAAATGTTCGTCATTAGTAACATAAATTTGATGAAATAATCTATCATTCAAAAAGCTGTTACGGATTTCAATGACTGGTTTGATAACATATTGCAGTGATTGAAATAGTCGTTCACTTAAATTTCTAGCAACTAAATGAATAACGCAATGTACAGCAAGGACATGTGGAATTTTATTTTTTAAGTACGTCTGCCTTTATGGCACCCTGGCACAGCCGGAGCGCCATCCGTAGCAACTGATATAATATTTTTCAAGGGAATCTCTTTCTCATCACAAAACTTTTCATAAGTATTGAATATGGTTTCGCCTTTTGTATCAGTCTCTAAATTTCTAGCAAACAGTAGTTTTTCACGTATTTTCTCATCTTTAATAAACCTCACGTAAGACAGCAACAATGCTTCATTAGTTCGTAAAGTAGACTCATCGAGCTGATTTGAGAATTGACTAGTCTTCAGACGATTGCACAATGATTCTGCAATATTTTCAGCTATTTCACCAATTCGTCTTTGCACAGAATTATTACTGTCTAAATGAAACTTTTTTTCAGGATTTATTTATGATTGATTTATGATTTTTATTTTATTTATCCAATAAAACAGGACAGATATATGAAATACACGGAGAGAAATATCGAACCGAGTTAGTTAAGAGCAATCTCTTAATTAATATTAGTTGATGTTCACAAGTTGTAGTCGAAAGTCGAGAGCTCAGTCGGTGTCTAAGAGTCTTCCTGGATGAAATTACAAATCTCCTCCTAAGCCTCTACACAACGCCCCCACTTTTTTTCTGGGTCTATTACCGCCCTTTAGGCCTGCAGCAGCGCCCACAAGGGGGCGTTCTCGTCCACGTTGGGAAAGGGTGCACTAGAGTTTCGTGCTCAGTCGTCTGCCTTACGAATGAGTAGTAAAGTTTACTCCATATGACGATTTCAAGTGTAATTTAGTTATCTAAATAATGATTCGAGTTTGAATTGTCACGACAATTCACTTTGCATTGGACACTTGAAACTCTCACTATCATTGTAAATGGTATTATTGTAGACTACAAATGAGTTGGAACGTTCAAAATACATAAATAATATAAATATAAATATAGATATACGAAGCGAGAAGTGGGTGAAGAAAGACGCCCGAGTATCCAAAATAGAAATTCATTTCCCAGTACAGCAGTACTTATTAATTGTATATTATATCAAAATATATGTTGTTAGTATTTTATTTCACAAAAGTTATAATTAAAACCACCATTAACATTTTTACTAACTACTTTATTATTTTTCTGCAAATTACTATAAAATGTACACAACACGTTATAAAATACCTATCTACGGCTTATAATGAATTATATACCTAGGTTAGAGGCTACTACCTAACAGATGACGACCGTGGGCATTTAAATTAGAACTGCTGAATACAGATAAGGAAGGGATAAAGTTCCATCAACCTAACGCTTGCCACCTATAGCCACATAACGCTTAACCAGGGTTGGCGTCTTCCCACATCAGAGAAAAGTTTTTATGAATCTTCTACTATATGCTCCCTTCATTAAGATGTATTTATTCAGTTAGAGAATGGAATCAATAATAAATCAGATTTAGTGTTATAGGCCTCTTAAATTGGAAAACTTGGTTATTAACAAAAAGAAAATTATATCGCTAAAAATATTTAATACATTGTAGTTTTCTGTGGACATACAAAAAGTGGTGTTTTGCGACCAACATCATCAATAGAGACCATACGCATTGTTTCATAGTTATAATATACAAAATATAATACTCCTCTTTATAACACTTACAAAGTATAAGCATAGTCAAAAGTATAGTAACTCCATACAGTAGTAGCAACGTGGCTTGTATGTGTGTACATATTCGCAAAATATCGCGACGCACAGGCGTTGCATAACAATAGTTGTCCCAACAAGCCTTTCATTATTATACAAATGTGTGCATATGTATGTATACGGCGCGTGGCTTCTCTTTTATTTCTTATCTCTTTTATTTTGCTATGGCCCCACCTACTAGTTATTATGAGTTACATAGTAATAGCCACCTATATTAACATTGTGCCTTGTTCCAGCTTGACCAATATAATAAATTAACTAGTAGTAGGGTTCCCTACCTGTGACAAAGTGTGTAGATACCACCGCTCTACCTATTTGTACCACGAAACAGCACTACTGTCATAGTATAAGCAAGACTAGTAATGTAACTCCATACAAACGCAACAGCGCGTCTTGTATCTATGCATACATTCACACACATTCACACACATCTCGTGATGTATCGAGTTGCACAACGGGAGTCGCACGCGCCATGTTTTATAGAATTGAAGCGTTCTTACTCCCAAAGTCGATATTCCAATCCATGTTGCTTATTTAAAAAATAATAATACGTTGGTAAATACTTTATTTGACAAAGGTTATGTTAATATAGCACGAGAATACTGTGATGAATACTTAAATAATAATGTGGCAACCCTACGCTGTGAGCAACCTGTAGGAATTAACACTTCGAATAGGTTAGTAGGTTCCACTACTTGCATTATTACACTATGCTACTGTGTTCCAAATTGAATAAGTACTATATTCCACGGCCGGCAACGCATTTGCCATATTAAAGGTACTTGTGAAATATCGCAAAGGCCTTTAAGCGACGATTACTTCTCATTTGCAGTTCCTGTGGCGAACTGTGTTAATGATTGCAATTTCTTTAAATGCAAAGTGAATGCACGCTTGAGTAAACCTGATGTGGCCGATGATGGTACGCGTTTGTTCAAAACATACATTCCCTCTTGCCTGGAATAGCACCGGAATGTAGTTTTTGGGAAACACAGGTGTTGGCAGTGTATTTTGTTCTTTTGCCGTGCGCATGAAGGAGGAACCAAAGCGTTAGGGTGGATGGGTGGCAAATCAACAACATAAAGATGGAACGTTCTCGACTTTTTAATCGGCCGAAGGACGACAGGTGAGAGTGGAACGAGATTGAAAAGTTCCTGTGCATACTTTCCAAAATATATTCGATGAAAACTTTTCAAGTAGGTCACTTTCCTACGGATTCGAAGATTTTGAAGCTCCCACTAGATACGAGTGTTGCGAATAAGTCGTTCGCTCCACCGAATTCAAGTTCAGGCTCGTCGTTGAATATCTAACTATCTACATTTAAAATCAATCTATCTTTAAAACCTTCACAAAAAGATTTTTATTTTAAGATTAGCCACTCCGGCCCTATTTTGTTTGGATACTATATATAGGTATATTACTAAAAATCACAGCATATACCTCTTCTAAATCATTAAAAAAACATCAGTTATGTCAAAGTTTCATTCAAACTACTATCATGCCCACTGGAAAAATCTTCAATCATGGCTACTACAGAAACATAGGTGCCCGATATTAAAACAATAAAAGAAATTATGCAGATAAAAATGTTCTTCCATAACACGTAGTTAAATTTGCCAAGACCTCTGTCCCAACGGTAGACCGTGTCGATAATAGCTGGAAAGAGAAGACCAAGAGTCGAGAAGAAGATGGCTCCAGCAAGACTGATGACCAGCTCAAGGTTCGGGAACGCTGCTGCAATAGCAACTGGAACATAATACAATATTTTTTGTGACAGTTCTGTTAATAAAACCTAAAGTAACTAAAACACTTCTGTTACAGAAATCAGAAAAAAGTCGTTGTTTCCGATTTCAAGACAATATAGAAAAGTTAGTTTTTTACATAACTCGTCAGGGGATCGAACCTGTGACCTCATAAATGGAGAGAAGCCACTCGACCACAGAGGTTGTAATTTTTTTTATTTACTAGTTCATTTTTATGTACATCATGAAATGGAACTGTCTGAAAATCCGTTCGACAAGCAATACGTAACAAAATCAATACGTGTCGCATTACAAATTGCCAAACTCCGGTGAGAAATAGAAATATTGTTTTCATTTTTGTTTCATTCAACACTAACGAGATATGACAAGGAAATACAGCTTCCAACCAATATATCTCTGGAATTTTTGCTAGAAATGTAACAATGTTATGATTAATGACGAATATGTTTTTGCCTTGTACGTAGGTCAATGCTTGTACATATTAATTTGTTAATAATTTCTACTTACGAAGTTGCCAAGTTGCAATAGTTCAGCTTGGTTCACTATGACTTAAATCACGTTCCTTAAAGAGGAAACGTTTGATCGATTGATTAATACGTCGAAGATGAGGATCACTATAGTAGGAAGCAATATACAGCTCTGGGCTACATGCAATCAACAACACCGTGCTTCATCAGGCCACGGGTCCATCTAACACTGCGTTTTCCTTGGAAATGAAATTATTTTTTCTTCTCGGCTCTTTACAAGTCTGAATTTATGTTATCTGCTTGTGGCCGCAGCTAGATAAACTTTTTTTCCCATTGTCACTTCTGCGAGCCATATGGCCTGCTCACTACCGCTTCAACTAAATGATTGTTGCACTAGTTCTTTTACAGATTTTCTCGTTTCAAAATCTTTCACATCGATACATCACGATCATATTCGAAAATCTTTCTGCCATATGATATACACGTTGCTACCCCAAGTGATTAAATCCTTCTAAGGATTAGTTATTTAGTATCCCAATTTCTGCCGCCAAGCAGTAATATCAGCATTACTGTTTTCCGGTTTTGAAGGGTAAGGGGTGCTGGTAAAATTATAACAGGCACATAGGACTTGTCTACTTATGTCTCAGGATGACGGGCGCAGTGGCAGTGCCCATCAGATCTTTGCGATTGAAAGCTCTGAGTGGCACTGCAACTGTTATGGACTGGTATGTAGCTTACCATCAGGCGCACGACTTGTTCGTCCCGTTACTTGATATTATAAAAAAGCGCAGCAAATAACTAAATCACTTACCGGTGGCAGTCACCAACGTTGTTCTAATAGTCACCTGGATGAGGTTGTTATAACTTTGTGTTTTACGTTTTTGTAGCATTCGGTTTATCATTTCCATCGGCACATACATTTGTAAGGCGTAGGATAGGAACATAACTATTGCCATAATAAGTTTTGCACTTTGGGCGATGCTGTAAGAAAAGAAATAAAGTTATTATTTCTGTTTTTCCCGAAAGTCCTAAATAAATAATAACCATGCAACACATTCTTGTAGACTGTTTAGGTTCTTTGAAAGGAACACTAAACAAAGTGTACAGCGTTGAACATTTTATAGCTCTAAAACTACTCTATTGTGATTGTGACTGCGTCGTATCATACAAGCAAATAAGAGAACTACCTTTAAGAAAGACAATACAATTTTTTTTGTACTACTCGTAAAAATAAATTAACGCCACCTGTACACATGCTTTGCTAGCCGTTGGACAAAGGATCTTATAAATTTCTAGTGTCTGGGATTGGGCTTGCTCTTCCGATGGTCAATCAAAAAACATAGTGTCATTTTGCGCTATCAATAATAGGGTATCTACATACAGGCAAGTTCTGCATAAATAACCCTCTCAGCCAGTAAACAACTTCCACGTTTCATTCTTTTGCATCTTTATAAGCAAGTGTAGAAGGTACTCACATATAGTCCTCTGGTAGATTCAAAGTAATGCTTCCCTTCACATCATCGCCGTACTGCACATATCCAAAGAAGCCGAAAACGGCGTACAAGGAGATTACAATAACCATAGCAACATTTAACACCCCGGGGCAACCCAGGAATCGTTTAGGATTCTTCATCTCGTTTTCTATTGGCATTACCACACCAATGCCTTCCATGGCAAATATTACTGTGCTGAAAAGATTAACAAATACTTATTAAATATCGGAAATGAAAATACCAATGAAGTCCAAAAAATTTTGAAGGACCCCGGTGCTAGTGGACTGGGAGGCGTGGCAGAATCTGATGTCGAAGGCCAAAATCCACTTTGGGTCACTGCTCCACCGAAATAAGTACGTAAATTGAAAAAAAAAATTAACTACTTTTTCAGATTTAACAAACAAATCATCTCAGTCAGCCCGTGGTAAAGTGTCGGAAAGGAATATTTACGACCTAGATCTGGAAAAGATAGTTTAATTTTCAACGTGGAAGAATCGCAAAAACTAAGTTAAGTATGTAAAGGTCGCATTTTTTCTATAATTTATTACAAAAGTACATTATTCCACTAAGGTAATAGTTAGAATAACACAAATTAGACTTGGTCAAGTTCTTCACTAGCTGTACTCTTAGATAAAACAAAGATCTGGCGACCTACGCCATAAAATCCTTTCCAAACGGAAACGATTTTCAGCAACAAAAAGATACAAGATTGAAATTAAGCTTATCTAACATTAAAATATATATTAGATTCACTATGTTACTTTTCACAGGGTTTCTAGAATACGTTAAATCATTAACAAATCTGAACAGAACCATCGTTTCATAAAGTCATATAGATATGAATAGAAACGTCTATAGATAGAAACGTCTTTAAATAGACGATGGAGAGGGCGTCCTATTGATAAAATTTGCAAATAAATTGTTGGGGAATGTACACACATTGTTAAAATAGACCAAATAATCAAAAAAAAAAAGTCTTGATAATTCCAAAGTCTCATGTAAAATTGAAGGAAAGTGAGTGATGGCTCCCATGAGACTGAAATATATCATCGCATTGCAAATTTGCTGAAAGACAATGGAATATTACTGAACATCTGAATCCATTCAGAGTTTCCCAGAGAGGATTATTGTGACAAAACGAATCATTATTCTAACGACAACAGTAAAAGATTTTACTTTTATATTATACTACTTACTCAACGTTAGACATGTAATTAATTTCAAGAAGATGTCTAAAGGCCGTCACATTTACGATTGATCTAAAAAAAACTTAGGGGACAATTTATTCGTTTTCACTGTTGGTTTAACTTCAAACAGCGCGCTTATCTTTCTTTGATATTCTCATAAATTTTAATACAAAACGATACTTAATTGGAAATTTGAATGTGAATGTCAAATGTTAAAAGTTTTTCAGCGGTATGTTTAGTTTGAGCGATAGTACAGTGTGAGAATAGTCGATTCTTAATAGAAAGGTCGTGCTTATGATTTAAATTTCGAAGTTACGGACATTTACGAATGTCTAATAATACCACCCGTTAATCGTGAAAAAAAATCATCATGATGAAAACTGCAAATCGAAAAAGTTTCCCAATCTTTGGAAAACGTGTGGAGTCTACAACTTGGATTGGGTCGGCGTGGCACACTATAGACTAACCCTGTCGATACGGTAAAATTGTGATACAAAAGCGACATTCTAAAACTGTAATAGCGTAGTATTCTAAAATGCCGCATTAATGGAATAACGCCAGTGATAAAGTTTGTGTTCACAGCAGTGTTTGCAAAGCTGGGTACTTGGACTGAGAACCGGTTCCAGGAATCGTACCATCAAGCCATGTCATAATGCGTAACTTTCTAAGAAAAATCCATTCAATCTACTTTTATTAGCTTGATTAATTTATTGTGTTTGCTCCCGGTATGATAATCAGTTTAAAAACGAAACAATAACAGAAAAAATTGAACAAACTCCGATTGTAGTTTCGTGGGTTTGTTTTTATGAAAATAAACGCTAATATTTGGCAAATTTTAAACTTTTTGTAGCTATCTGGATAAATTTATTTAATAAGGAGCTTTGCTTTAGATTGGTTTTCCTTTGGCTTCGCATCTTTTTGTTGCCGCATTTTGAAATAAGAAAAGGATAAATTCTCATTGTGTGTTGTGTTATTTTACCACATTCACTATTCAAGAAAAATCTGTTTACTTCCTGCCCGAGCAAAAAAAAGCAAACAATTTACAAACTTAACAACGACAAACAATGATTTACTGAACAAGAATCCTATTAAATATTATGTGTATTCGAATATTACACAATTGCATACATAGAGATAGAAAAATAATTCTTAGTTTATTCTTTAACTTTATAAATATCTTACCTAAAAAATAGCGGCCACTGCGTAACACTGGTCACCATTTCTCTATCCTTAACAGGTGGCAAATCAGTGAAGATGAAATACATAGTAATACCAAACACGCATAAAATTAGCAAATTGGCTAACGCTGAGAACGGCACCAAGTATTTCAGATTTCTTATTTGACAGATGAGCACTAAAGGCACTAAGGTTAGTGCACAATAGGCTTGAACGGATAGCTTCAATTCCGGAAACATGACGTCAAAGACCTGTAACAATTTTTAAGTTTAACAATAATAACTACATTTACTAAGTAACATCACCAAAATGAGTCATAAAAAGCATCTATACAGAGGTTTTCTTTTTTTTTCAAACATCACGTTAGCGTTGCTGCCATTTGGATGTGTTGTTCGAAAGATTGTCTTATTTAGGTGTTCTGTGTTAGCGATTTGAAAAATAAACAATTGCGACCACTCTGTGAATTATCGTATTGACATTTAAGATCCCTTTTAATATGTATTTTGGAACTACTTAAAGTGAAGAGTGGTTAAACGTTTTCATCGCAACCCATTGATGTTATTATTATTTAATAGCTGAATAAACAAATTGATAATGGAAATGAATAAGGGAATTCGTTGCAATCCACGAAAGCTAATTTTAATGTGGGAGGAGTTTCCTTTAACGTATCGCTTAGACACACTTCGACATATACATACACATACAAATGCATCTGATTTCTAGTGGAAATACTCTAATTTGAAACCAGGTGATTTGGTGGAATTGTGAGGCATTTTTCAGAGATTTTTAATAATAATATGTGGATTGTATGGTCAATATCAGGGTAGGGTACCAAATGATGGGACGAACTAGTCATGTACCTGGTGGTAAGCGACACGTCCGTCTATAACAGTTGAAGTGCCCCTCAGACCTTTAAATCGCAAAGTTCTGTGGGGCACCACTGCCACAGTGCCCGTCATCCTGAGATATAAGTTTACAAGTCCCATGTGCCTGTAATTTCACCAGCACCTTTACCCTTCACAACCGAAACGCAGTAATGCTCACGTTACTGCTTGCCAGCAGAAATAGAAAAGGCGGCAGTACTTCCCTGGACGAACCCATTCACAAGCTCTATAGCTACTAAAAGATTTAATGCGATGTGCTAGGTTGATACTTGCCTCTTTAAAAGACGACCCGATGAAAACGATGTAGACACACAAGACACTAAAATATGTTGATACCATGGAATAATCCACGATGGTCCTGAAAAATAAAAGCTACAGTAAGTATTTTCTATGTCACACACACATTTTTGAAAGTGAAAAAACTGAAGTCCCGGTACGTCCAAAATAGGAACTGGATTTCACGGTGAACGTTGTGAGATCCTGACACTTTTTAACAATGTTAATCAAATTAGTCTTGGCAGTAGATATCGAACATTTCATCTTATTGTAATCTAAATGGACAGAACCAGGGTCAACATTTATATAACAGTAAATTTTTATAGAAATTGGACACCGTGTCAAATTTAAGTCCTTGTCCAAAAGGATTTTATTGACCGCGAATCGAATAATTTGTAGACATAAATTGGTCTGTTTTTATTCTTAATATATATAGTTTATGTCTGCGAATACGTCAATGTTTGTTTATGGATTACAGTAAACGAAACTTTTATGAATGTATACATGAATTTTACAAACGTTCGATAGTCAGCGTTGAGCTTTAAACATCGGATTTTATTTTGTTGTTTAGATGACTTCTAATTACACAGGACATGCCGTTACACGTACAAAATTAAACGCATCTTTGGTTTCATACGGTAGGTACTACATTAAGTATTGGTCAAATCAAAACCAAATTAAAAAAGTTAATTTACCAATTTGGTCCTACCGGGAATCGAACCCGGGACTTCCGGGCAAACCGTTGAGCCACCGAAGTCGTCAAAACATACAACAGACTATTCAAGCTTGACTAAGTATGGATTTGTTATATATTTATTGCTGAGGAGTGCATCATCATAAAACCATATACTGGACTCTAGGGTATCTTCTTACGGGTATGGGCCATATCAGCCACGTCGGCCCAATGTTAGTTAGGGAGTTCACAAGTCATCCAATGGTGGTGAACCTTCTTCGACGTGCAGGTTTCATCACGACTATTTCCTTCATCATCAGCGAGAGTTATTGTTTCGTAACTCAGAAATTAAAATTGACCACTCAATTAAGAAGTCGTCATCAACCCATTTGTACGTCCCACTGCTGGGCACAGGTTTCTTAGGCAAGGGTTCGGGGACTTCACACGTTTTCCGAAGATTGTGAATGTGAGTTTTTTCGACGTGCAAGTATCATCACGATGTCTTCTTTCACCGAAAAGCTCATGGTAAATTGGAAATTAAATTTCGTACATAAATTCCGAAAACTTAGAGGTGCGAGCCCGGATTCGAACCCACGGACTCTGTTTGGGAGGCAGTATGTCTACGTCTTTTGTTATTGAGAAAAAATCTGTACCTATTATTAATACCATTACGAAGGAGCTTTTCAACATTAACATGGACAAATATCAAAAAATTTTGCTATCTTATGTTTTTGCATTTTTGTCTTGTTTTCTACCAACGAAAAGGAACTCACCTTACAACACCTCCCCAGGACTGAAGTTTTTTCGGGCCGTAGGTAAACGCCGCACCACACGCCTCAGCGTAACCCAATGATGGTTTTTTCGCTGCAAAACATAGTTCTTGTGCTGTTCCTACCTGAAATTGATAAAAATGTTTTATGATCAGTCGTATTTACCGAAGAACTGCAATTGCAAGTGTAACACAGGATTATGAGTTCAAATCCGCGTAAATTGTCGTGGCAACCAAATTAGCACGGGAATCTATTGTTATCAGTTCGTGGAAAATATAAATTAATGCTTCATGTGCAAAAATCAAAGTCGTAGCCATTGAAATGACAAAGTAGTAATAACGTTAAATTCTTCTTCTGTAAAAATTTGGTTTAGTGTACATACGCGCTTTGTACCAATAATATATAATATGTGTATTTGCACTATCGCCGATTAATTGTAATTCATAAAAATAAAAGCATTATTGTAAATTTATATGTAAATGAATCCCCCTTTGCTTATGTAACAAAGGCATGTATTTAAATGATCTTTTTAAATTTGCAAAGGCAGCAGGCAAAAAAATGTAAACGGTCATCTTTTTTAATGATTGATCCTCCTTCACTCACATATAACATAAATTAAATCGATCGATATTTTAATCTGTACTGAGTTAAGCAAAAAATTTTTGGTTTGTATAAATTGACTTTGATAGTTTTATGTTGGGCCTTAAAACTAAGACAAATGAGCGTTAAAAATAAATTGTAGATACTTTTTCTTAAAACTAAGTAAATGTTGATAATATTTCTATAGTAATATTTATTAATTTTAATATAATTTGACCTGAAAAAATGTTCGGAAACTCAAGCAAATTGGTTTCTGATACTAGTCGGTCGCTGTCGTGACACGCTCGCTTCGCTCGTTCGGTTCGTGCTGCTTTTTCAAATATTAACCTAACCTACTGAATAAAGGGTGCAACCAAGAACTGGTTATAAATGTCATCAATCGTTACAAGAAAAGAGCAATGATAAAAAAGTATCATATTTGAACACCCAATTTTTATTTTAGTATTCGCAAACATAATAATATTGTGAACCATGAATGCAGTTCATTTATGATTTATCCGTGTATCAACTAATATAAATTGAACAATTAATATATAGGTACATCAGACATAAAAAGAAATATCGTTTATTTAAAAAACTGCACCTTTTACAATAGAGAAATTATTTATTTGAGGATCAAATAATATTATCCCCATAACAAACATAAGTTATTATTGAAAAATTAATTAATCCGGTGAAACGTCACTCTAAACATTAACCTTATATCATAACAGTTAAGGTAAACTTCTGATTGATTTGTCCCGCACGATGTTCTAAAACCGACGATAAACATGTTTTCAAAAACATATCCTAATATTAACATATTATAATCCAAATTGTTAAGGTACATTTTAAACATGAATAGCGCATTGATGAGTGAGAAAATTGGAATGCCAAATACATTAACTGCCTCTGTGGCTGAATGGTTGCCATGCCGGACTGCCATGCAGAGGTTCCAGGTTCGATTCCCGGGCCGGGAGAAATATTTGTATGGTCTACATTTATTTCTCTCGTGAGTTTGGGTGTAATTTGTGGTTGTCTATATGTGTGTCCATGGCACCCGTGACACAGGGTTTCCCTAGTGCGGGGCTATGTTGAGTGTGTCCGTTATTAAAAAAAAATAGAATGAAAGAGTTTCGGTACATATCACATATGTACAACGTCTCAGGCGTCTAGATTACCATCATTCGCACGACTTGTTCGATATTGATATTATTATTTTGATTATTGATATTGATGATATTATAAAAAAAATACGTACAGATCTATTTGGTTGGTATGGCATATCTTCCCCTGGTACGCCGAAGACGGTGGTTTGTTTTGATTATAATTATTAAAGATCACCGACATGTGGGACAGGGCCTCCACTGATATAATCCCAATAGGCCTTTACACAGTCAATCTATCGCGCGTAATCTGGAGCGATTGCTCGTGTTCGTTTTTGTTATAACAGAAAGAGCGTTCGTGTAAAGGCTAATAGCGCAGGATAGACCGCGCGAAACTAGCGGATTATTTCCAGCTGATCCGTTTCATTTTAAAATATTTTCTATTCCCATCGGACCCCTAATGCCCGCTGCATTAGGGATCCGATGGGAATATGTGTGTATTTTATTTAGTTTATTGGAAATGGAGAATATTAACTGTACTAACTTACATAACTATATTAACTTTGTTTTCAAAACTTGTTTTTCTCTTGACTGTACTTACCTTACAAATACAGTAAGGGGATCCACTGGGAGTTGCAAAATGTGGAAGGGATCAGTTGCAATTTAAAATTGGCGGTGGATCAGTTTTGGGGATCAGATGGGAATAAGTCAAAGCGCGCGAGATCGCGCGCGCGACAATTGCGCGCAATTGCTGTATCACGTGCGATAGTATGTGTGTGTAAAGTCCACTATTTGTTTTGTGCGCAAACAGGGTAATTCCTGTAAACAACTTGATGATATCATACCTTCTTCGGTATAACTCTGCCCACGTGCTGCACTTTAGTTTAAACATGTAATGCACACTTTATTTTACGTAGTACGTTACCAATTGTCCATAGATACTCTACGTCAAGGAATGATTTGCCACCATAACATCTGTATTTTATACCAATATAC